GATCACAAAGTGCTGTTTTTACAAAACCATGCCAACACTGCAACAGAAGAGACTCAAGAAAAGGTGGAGCCCTGGTGTGGCACTGTGGGTTAATGCGCTGGACTGCAAGGTCGGCAGTTCAAGCTCACCAGCTGTTCCTCGGAAATTCTATACACAGTCACTATGAGTTGGAACCGACTGGATGCCACTTAACAACAACAACGATTACCGTAAGTCTCATGGTGGCTATGAAGATCCGTACCACGGTTATGGAGGCTTTCAAGCCAAGCTAGAGGAGCAAGGGGTTCTGTTCCATCCAGTGATCCCAGTGGTGGTGGTGGTGGTGGTTATGTACTGTGGAGTCACTTCTGACTCATAGCGAGCCTGTACAGGGTTTCTGAGGCTGTAAATGTTTACAGGTGCAGAAAGCCTCATCTTTCTCCCGCGGAACAGCTGGTAGCTTTGAACTGCTGTCCCTAAAGTTAGTAGCCCGATTCATAACCAGTATGCTACACCAGAGCTCCTTAGTGATCCTGGTTGTTGTTGTTAAGTGCCATCGAGTCAGTTTGGACCCATAGAGACCCTGTACAGAGTTTCCTAGGCTGTAAATCTTTACGGGAGCAGAAAAGCCTCAAATTTGTCCCACAGAACAGCTGGTAGTTTCGAACTGCTGACCTTGAAGTTAGCTGCCCCACTCATAAGCACTACGCTACCAGAGCTCCTTTAGTGATCCTGGTCAAGCTGGTTAGTCACAGGAGGTCCTGGCTGAGCAAGAGCTCTCCAGATGCCAGCGGAGGTGCCTGACACAAAGCGGCCACCGGGAATGTGGTGCGAGGGGTGGCTGGGGCAGAAATGTAGACAGACAGCACAAAGCAGTTGGGTACCACCACTAGCTGGGTTCCCAGTGCTCCAGGTCAAGAATCAAAACTGGGGCTCCAAAGCCACTGCTTAGCAACTGCTACATGATGCTTACGTCTGGTTCTATTCATTACAAATCTGAAAAACGGGTGTTTTATCAGGATACTGTTGGGAAACAATGGAAGTAGAACAGTAGGGATTCTGTAACATTGGAGACTCGTAAATTGA